CGCTGTCTTGACCATGTAGGCGTCGATACCCTTCGGCCCCATGATGCCATGAATAGCTTGGGAGTTCATGTGCACCATGTTGAGGATGCTCAGCTGGCCCAGGAAGTAATAGTCGATCTGGACCTCGTCGCCCGTGCGCTCGTGCCCGGCCTTGTAGTGCGGGTCGTCCGTGAACTTGGATCTGACGCACACCCAGCACCAGGACCTCGCCGGAATGTGCACCAGCTCGTGCGTCCTCTGCTCGGCCAGGCTTGGCTTCACCGGATCCTTCTTGACTCGAACCGGCACGGACTCCTCGAGCACTGCCTGCGCTGCCGGCTCGCTCGCCTCAGCCTGAGCGTGAGTCGCGGCAGCTCCTCCGCCGCCGCCGCCCTGGAGCGCGGCTCTCGCCGCTGCCCTGGACGCAGCTGATGCGCCGCCGGCCTCGCCTCCCGGCTCCTCGCCCCGCACCGGCATGACGAGCGAGTTCTTGACGCCTTCACCGTACTTGTCCATCTTGAGGTAGAACAAGTCGTTGCGCCTGACCAGCGGCACGGCGTCCGGGTCCGAGAACTCGATCGGCTTCGGGATCATGTAGCTCCCGCTCGGCGTGAACACCCACGACGTGCCCTTGTCGACCGCCTGCGACACGCCCAGCACCGGCCTCTTGACGTCGGCGACCTTGTAGTCCACCCCGATCTTGTGCCCGTCCTTCGTGTACGTGACGAAGCGCTCGCCGTGGCACGGGATGTCGTCGCCGCTCGCTCCGACCAGCCGGATGCGCTCGCTCAGGTCTCTGAGTGTCTCGTGGGCCCCGTGACTCGGCGGACACACCGATCGCGCAGCACCCGAATCCACCATGACCCAGTGCTCATTGATACCGATGATCTCCTTGCTCCCGAACGTCTCGTGCTCGTTTGCTGCCCCTGGCTGGCTCAGCTGCTCGATCGGGTTGGCACCGACCGAGAATGGCTGCCTCGGCTGCTCGTGCTCGTTTGACGGCTCGCTCGAACGAAGGTGGATCGCTGTCGTCGCTGGTGCTAAGGGCGTCGCTGCTGCTCCAGTCGATGATGACTCCTGCCCTTCCTCCAGCTCGATCGCGAGGCACCAAAGTGGCTCTGCCCCGCTTTCGGTCGCGATCGCCATCACCGGCGCCGCGCTCCCCGCGGCGCTCGCCGCTGGAGGAGCTCCCGTCGGCTTCGACTCCTGCTCGACCGCATTGGTGCCTTTCTTCTTCTTCTGCTCTGCGAGGAACTTCCTGCACTCGTTCTTGACGTGGCCGGTCTTGTGGCAGTGGAAGCACCGTTTCTCGGCCCTGTCCTTGGCCGCCTGGCTCCTCTGGTCCGTGGAGTTGTCGCCGCCCTTGCCCTTCCTGCCTTTGCCTTCCTTGCCCTTCTTTCCTTTGCCCTTGTCGCGCTCGCGCCTCGCCTTCTCCACGGCGCTCGTGTCCATCGGGACTGGTGGCGGCACTGCTGAGATGGCGCTCCTCGTCGAGATCACCATGTGCACCTCGTTGCGCATGAGCTCCCACGTGGTCAGCCTCGACGCGTTGTGGACCAGGTGTGCTCGAAGAGCTTCGTCCTGAATTCCCCGTTGTAGGATCGCCATCTTGATCCTGTCCCCGATCCTCTCGTGGCTCTGACTCTCGTACTTCGTGACCTTGAAGTCGAAGTCCGCCAGCGTCCCCACGATGTTGTCCTCTGGGAACTGGAACGCGATCAGCTCCTGCAGCAGTCCTGCGTGGCGACCGGGTCTGTCGGGCTCGTACATGTCTTGTAGTGTCCTCCACGCCCGATACCCTTCTCCGACGCCGACTGGCTTGATCAGCTGGAGTGCAGCTCCTTCCAGCAGCAGGACGAGGATGAAGTACAACTGACGACTGCGCTGGCTCGCTCCTTCCTCCAGAAGCCTCGCGTTCCTCACTTCCTCCAGCGGGAACGTCATAGCCGCCGTCAGCTCGTTGGCCATCATCTCGTCGAGGGCCCCGAGATACGCGAGCATCTTGAAGCTCCACCCTGGCCACTCGTCCTCGCTGCCTCCGAACGCCTTCGGCTTCGCCAGAAGCCGAGTGTCCACTAGATCCTGTGGCGCAGCCCTCGCCGCTGCCACGGGCCTGCTCGCCGCGGCGCCTGCGCTCGCTGCTGCTGACTCCGCCGCCAGGGCGCGCTCCTCTGCAGCCTGCACCCGTTGTTCGGCAGCCTGCAACGCTCCCTCTAGCGCCTGGAAGCGTCGCTCGATCTCTTCCATACTTCCTGTCGAGCTTCTCGTCGAACTTACGGCTCCTCAGGATGTCTGCCTTGTTCGACCTCGAGCCACGCTTCCTCTTCTTCTTCGGCGGCGTGCTGGGCTAGGAAGGGCCGGCTGGCGCGGCCCACGCCGCTGCCAGCCGCCAGGAGGGCGCAGCCCTCGCCGCTGCCCTATTGCTGGCGCGCGCGCGCGCCGCGGGTGGCTGGAAGGGAAGCGGCGGCGGGAACGAACCCACGCCGCTCCGCTACCATGTTGATGGTTTTTACTTGGACCAAGGGGCTACAGATTAGCATGTACAGTCAACAGTTTTACCATCTTTTTGAAATAAAATTAATGAAAACGTTGTGTTTTCCAATAATTCCAATTATTTCCAATATTTTCAAATGAAAACCTTGTGTTTTCCAATTTTCCAATATTTTTGAAGGTTTTCCAGCAAGGATCGCGCGTCGCCCCGTTGCCGTACCCGAAACCTTGAAAAACATTGGAAAATTGGAAAACACAGCGTTTTTATTGGAAAATATTGGAAATAATTTGAATTATTGGAAAACACAGCGTTTTTATTGATTTTCGATTAAAAAGATTGGAGAACACATAGTTTTTATTGACATTTGAACAATAATATTGAAAGACACACCGACCTGGCGCGAGGGCGAAGCGATGCCAGGCCGCTTCGGTCTCGGCACCCCAATCAAAATTGAGCCCACACCTAAATACGCATCGTTGTAAAATATACAGCGCGCGTGTTCTAGATGTTGGCATTCACAGTGCGCGCGCGTGGCAATGTGCGTAACATATACTACATGTGAACGTGTGGATACGCATATGTTAGCTTTCTGGCATGGCCAAATCAAGAAACCATGCGCGCTTCTACCCGCGCTCTCTGCAATAGGTGCACGCTGACCTCAACCCGAGAAACCTGCCGACTCGCTCCCGCCCGCTCCCGCTCGGCTCCCGCAAGGCTTCTCTGGCGAAACGCGTTTCCACGAGCTGCCACACATTTTCCGTTCGTGCTCGCATGACAAAAATGAGCATCGATATCTTTGGATAAACAGCGAAGCCACTTGGACCTAGAGGCATGCAAGAGAGAGAGAGAGAGAGAGGGAGAGAGAGAAAGAGAGAGAGATAATGATAATGGGAAATACCGAAGGATACAGGAAACGAGAAAGGCAATGAGAAAGCTGGAGACACACACACACACACACACACAAGAACACACACACACACACACAAGCCACCTACACAAAGATACCACCCCCCCACCCCCCCCCCCCCCGGCGGGGTGCTCCCAGTGACCTCTTTCCCCCCCCCGCTGCTGCCTGCAGCCCCCGCCGACCTGAGCACCTGCACGCCACACGCTGGAGGGCGGGCGCCCCTGGCCAGAGACCGTGCACGGGCCGAGCGCTGGGAAGACGCGCGGCCCACCCGTGCATGCAACCCTCGCCCGGGCGGGCCGCGCCACGTGCGCCCAGCTTCCCAGACCCCCGACGCTACGATTGGCTCACAGCGTGGACTCCCGGATGTCCAACACCGGATCCTCATCCCGAGCCATGCTTGACTGTCCAGGGGCCCGGCGCGGGCCCCCGGAGGCCGAAAACGAGAAGGACAACAAAAAAAACACAACAACAACAAAAAAAAGCTGCGACGTCTTAACAACGAGGGGAACAGAAGGTGGACCGATACCGTCACGCCCTGGACCTCTCGCCAGGTGCTTTCGGACGAGGACTTCGAGGCGTATCCGGCCGTGGTGACGGGAGTCTCCCAGGAGGCCCCGCAGGGTGAAAAGGAGGCAAAGGTACTTGCATCACCGCGGTGGTCGCCGAGGAGAGAAGGGGGCTATCAGTGGCCGCCAGGATTGGCCCCCGTACCGCCCCACGCGGCTTGAAGGGCGTGACAAGCTCCCTGAGTGGCTTGGGGAGGGGGTAAGGCTCTGGGCTGGGCGGGCCCCGCTCGCTTGGCTGGAGGTAGCGAGCCCGCCCGAGCCACGCAGGGAACCTGTGGTCCAAAGGCTCGAATGGAGGAACGGGTCCCGAGGGAAACGGGTCCTGGACTCCGGAGCCTTCCCCCAGGACGAGTTCTTTATCCCGAGTCGTTTTCTGAGTCCTGGGGCCCGTGGAGTGCCCCGAGGGCCCGACCACTGAGAAAAAAAACAAAGTGCGTTTCCCTGAGGACCCGCTTCCCCATGGCGAACTTATGAGCTAGGTTAGGCCAAATGTGGCCCACCTTGGCATCCGCTCCGAAGCCCCAACCCACTCCGCACCCCCCGCGGTGGTCCAAGCAGTCCGCACCCCCGTCTTGGACGCCCCCAGCACTCCCGGATCTCGCGCGGCCACGCCCGCGCCTCGCTGCCACCCAGACCCCCGACGTCATTATTCGTTCATGACGCAACCCCCAAGTCCAGATCCATTCCCCGGGACCGATCTCTCACTCGGAGTCGTTTCTTGCTGGTCCCGAGGCCCGGCAAGGGCCCCCCAGGGGCCGAAAATAGCGAAACACCTCGCGTCGTGATTTTTCTCCATGGCTCGAGGGGGTCTGGGCAGGGGCCCCCCCCTGTCAATATCACCCATGTTTCATTGAGTTTTCATTTGTGTATGCAGTGTCAGTTGCATTGTTGATTAGCACAGTGTATGATTATGGTTGCACCGCTGCCGTTTGATGTTCAGGGGCCCCTGAGTCACAGGAAAAGGTTGCGTATTCTTTCCCAGATTCTCAAGATAATCAGATCACGTACATCCCGAGACAGACTTAGTGTGCTGCCATCGGTTGAGATCCCCGTCCTCGAAGTCGGCCTCGCCCGCCAGGCGGGCCTCGTCCTGCAGCCACTCCAGCCACGCCGCCTCCGGCAGGGCCACGGCTGCGGCCGCCCGCCGCCGCGCGGCCCGCAGGCGCTCCAGGTCCGCCGCCTCGCGGTGGGCGCCGATCAGAGCCGCGTGGAGCTCCTGGGCTCCTCCTCCTCCTCCTCCTCCTCCTCCTCCTCCTCCTCCTCCTATCCTCCTATCCTCCTATCCCCATATCCCCCTATCCTCCTATCTTCCTATCCACCTATCCTCCTATCCTCCTCTTTCTCCTCCTCCTCCTCCTCCTGCTCCTCGTCCTCCTCCTCCTCCTCCTCCTCCTCCTCCTCCTCCTCCTCCTCCCTGCTCCTCCCCCGTCGCCATTTTGGCTCAAGGCCTAGCTGCCTCGGCCCAGGGTAGCAGCCATACCTTTCCACCACTTTTTTTGTCTTTTACTGGTCGCCGCTGCGAACGGCCAGTCAGTCTCCCCGCCGCAATGGGAGGCTCCAAGCAATGGAAGAAATGCTACTGCCAGACGCCGCACTGCTGGGGTTGGGCCTGGCAAGGGGCTGGTGGACACAAGCATTGTTCAGAATGTGGCAAGGCTTTCAAGTCTCAGTCCCATCATTCCCGTGCTGCAGGTGACAAGTCAGAAGTGCATGATGATGGAGGCAGCCACCAGCAGCGGGATTTTCGCAACAGGTGGTCTCGTAGCCGTGGTGCACGCGGACACGAAGCTGAACCGCAGAAGGCAGGTGGCCGAAAGTCGTCCCTCGCCCCAGAGGTCACAGATCCAGCCAAGGACGACGTCGCCATTTACATCCAGGCGGTCAATTTCTGGAAAAAGACGGTCGGGCAGGAGGGCAAACAATATTTGCAGGGTTGCGGGGACCTCCGCCAAACAAAAAAAAGACCCTCGACGGCAAGTCGTTGGACGCCAAGACCCAGTCACTGGCGGACCAACTTCAGCGACAACGGCGCCGCTTGGAGTCTAAGAAGGGAGACGTCGAACACAACCTCATCTGTTGGGACAAGGCTGCTGAGCTGTACGACAAGTCTTTAGAATCGTACAACGAGCTGCTCACCGAGATCGCCCAGCTGGAGGCCCAGCACACCGTGGCGGCAAAGGCAGCAGTGGCAGAGGCAGCAGCTCGACTCAATGCGAATGCGAAAGACTGCACCCTGCTCACTTTCGTGGACACGCGCTTCCCGCAGTGACTGCCGCCCCACATCAAGGCGGAGCTCGAGGCGGTCAACGCCAAGCTGGAGCAGGAGTGGCGGCAGCAGCAGCAGCAGCCGCAAGTGCAGCAGCCTGCAGATCAAGCACTGCCAGCGGAAGGAGCAGTTCCCGCACACCCTGCTGCAGGTGTCCAGGTGCCAATTCCCCCTGACCAACCTGATGATGGTCTGGGAGCCCCGCCTTCCGCCATGGCGGTGGACGACGATCGTGGCACGGTCCGCAAGCACGTCGCCGTGGGTGAGAGCCCCCCCCCCCCCCCACCCACACACACACACACACACGCACACACACACACATCCACGGGCATCCACAGCCTCGGCGAGGAGGCGGTCGCAGCGCAGGACAGGCTCGCCAAGCGCCAGGCCAAGGCCAAGTCAGGCCCCACGGGCAATGCAGGCTCGGGTGAGGCAAAGCCGTCGCCTGGGTAACACTCTCACGATGTGTACGTTTAGTTGCAGTAGCTGGACTGGCAGTAGGAAATTCTTGGGATCGACGAAGGAGGTGAAATCAGTCCAGGTCATCTGCTGCCAGGCAACTCGTCTCCAAGCGCAAGATCTGGCCAAGGAGACCGCATGGTGTGCTACCAGGGGATGGTTCGCAGTTTTGTCGCCTGCGGTTCTGAGTGCCAAAGGGTTCCCGCGTCAAGGCGTTGGTGTACTAGTACGCAACGGGCTTGATTTTGAAATCCGCAAAGTACCTATTCCAGAAGGCTTCCAGCAGTCTCGGGCTACACTCGTCTGTCTTGAGGTCCCAGGTCATCAGCCCTTCTGTCTAGGATCTATATACTTGGCCGACTCCGTCGGCCTGAATGAGGAGAACCTCACCGCGCTTGCCCAGGTGGCCCAGGCCGCCTCCAGACAGCGCATGCCGTTGCTCATCGCTGGCGATTTCAACGTCAATCTTAGCAAAGTGATCGAAACGGAGTTCCCGACCAGGGCTGGGGTCCAGGTGATCACGCCAGATAACACAACATTATACACCAAGAAATCGAAATCAACCATAGATTTCTTCATGGGGTCGTACTGTTGCGAGCACTTCCTGAAGCAGCCCAAAGTTTTGACTGACTTCCCAAGTGGTCCACATAGGCCAGTCGTGATGGATATGGTGGTTGGGGCCACGCATCTCATTCTCGCGCTGGAACAGCCTCAATACATTCCTGTAGTTGCCCCGGTGAGACCTCGCAATACCTGTCCACCCTGGTCCAGAAGTGTAGGGGCTCTGGAATTCCTGGAGGGCATTCTTGAAGACCGTGATCAACATGTAGCCTTTAGGGGCTCAGGACCGCCAGTTCCGGTGCAGCCTGTTTCTTTGGACGCCCTAATTGCAGCTGTGGGTGCTTCCTACGGTTACTTGGTGGACGACATGTCCACAGCGCTCAGCATAATCATCGACGCGCCTTTGAAAAGCAAGAGACACCGAGCTCAGGCGCCAACCGCCCGCTGGGCCCCCGCCAAGGCCGTCGAGGCCAAGGACAGGGGGAGTTGGAGAAAGCCGGCAGCAACCTTCAGGTGGCTTCGCAATAAGAGCATCAACATCAGGAGAGGGATCGAGGAGAAGGATCTAGAGGAGCTCCAGCAGTCCCAATCAGATCTTGCTGCCGTGCCAAGTGATTTAGAAGTTGTCGCAGAGTTCAAAGCTTTGCTAACAAGTGTAAGTACGTGTATCCAGGTCACACTTCTGGACGCCGCTACCAGCGAGCCAAAGTTCGAGCTCATAGCTACGGTGTTTGAGGACCTGGACTCCGAGATTGAAAAAGCTCTGGACCGAGAAATCGCCAGGGACCGAGCCGGCGATCGTCAATCCTGGAAGCTCTGGGCAAAGGAAACCATGGGGAAAGGAGCTGGATGGGCCCATCGTTGGAGTAGCAAGCTCACGGCATGGCAACCCTCCAGAGTGTGGAGTCCAGCCAAGTCCCGCTGGTCAGGCCGCCCGATCGATGTGCTGGAAGCCGAGCAGCAACGTCTGAGCAAGCTTTGGAGAGCTCGCCCTGACGAGCCCGCACATGTTCAAGCTGAGCTGCGAGGAGAAGACCTCGCAGATATTTCGGCCAATCAGCTCCGTGCCGCCAGTCAGTGTTTCATCCGCTCCACAGCTAGGACCTGGGACGGGATCCACCCTCGGAATTTCAGCCTCCTGGAAGACGCCCCTTTGGAAATCGTGCGTAGGCTCCTCCGAGCCATTGGAAGAGTTGGTGCTTTCCCGACGCAGATCAGGGCCATCGTCACTGTCCTCATCGAAAAGCACTGTCCTCATCGAGAAGCACAAACCAGGCCCAAACCCAGGTCCCAGCTACAGGGGTACAGGTATGATGCCAGGGCTCTGGAGAGTCTGGGGCAAACATCGGCTACTCGAGTTTCGAGCCTGGAAACGAGCTCATCATCGTAGGCACCTAGCTCATCAAGCAGGTAATGGAGTTTTGGAAGTGGTTTTCGAGCAAGCGATGAAAGCAGAAGGGTATGTCTTGGGAAAGGGGAAAGTTTTCCCTGCTGCTGTTCTGTGGGGTGTATCCAATTATTACGTGCATGTTGACAGGGAACTCTGGAGGGACCGCGCCCAGGAGACCAATTTCTCGGCTGCGCGCCGCAGGAGCAGACGCCAAGAAGACTTGGAACACTGGCCTTCAGCAGGCTGGCTATTTCGGGACCGACATTCTGGGTCTCACGGTTCAGGAACTCCAGGATGCGCAAGGTTTGTTCCTGTAGGTCGCGGGGCCCAAGTGTGCTACTCGGTCGCGTGCTCTGTCGCTTGCTGTTCTTGCAGACCCCACCTGGACTTCAGCTGCGGGGCCGTGCATTCACTGGAGTATGATAGTTTTCAGGGCAGCCCAAGATCCAAGCAAATCCGTATACAGGCTTCCCGAACTTAGATAACTTGCAGCGAACATCCTGGAAACATACACCTTCAGGATGGGGTAATATTAGAGGTCCCCTAGGTGCTGTCTGTTTAAGTTTACCGAGAGCTGGCCGGCCATGGACCAGCCCCACGGAGTACATGAGCAGGGAAGGTGAGGTCTACCCGCTCACGACCAGCTCGCCAGCTCTCATTCGTCGCATGCTCGAGGCGCCTTGGCAGGAGCAGCAGGCCGAGACCGTGGCAGCAAAGATGGGGGTGCCTGCAATTGACTTCACTCACGCTAAAGCAGCTCGCCGACAAACGACTTAGCAAACAAGATCGCAGCCTCCTCGCGTGGTACCTGGCCCAATCAATTTAGACCAAATGTAGACTCAAGGGTGCGGGCTACGACACGGACGCGACTTGTTTTTGTGGGACCCCATCAGACCACATATACCACGGGCTCCTGGAGTGCCCCAGTAGTGCTGAGCTTCGGGAAGAATACCTAGCTGAGGGAGACCTCGAAGACCTGAGAGACCCCAGGCCTTTGCTATGTGTGCTGGTTTTCCTGAGTCTCCGCCCTTTACGGTCCCGAGGCCCATTGGTATTGGCCTTGCTGCGGCGCTGTTTTGGTCCCGAAACGGCCTCTCGCCCTCGGGGGCTCTTGTAGGCGAGGTGTATGTTGACGGCAGTGTGGCCAAAGACGGCCACCCGTGGTTCCATGCCCCAAGATGGGCTACTGTTAAATGTGATGCCCACGGAGATGTTGAGGCCTACCTTTGTGGGCCCGTAGGCAGCGCCCTCCCGCCCACGCCCCCTGCGGCGGAGTTCCTAGCGCACCTTGCCTCCAGCCAGTTCAGAGGAGCGATTAAGATCCATTCTGAGTTCAAAGGCGCGGCGAGTTCCCACAACTCGGGCCAGCCAGCTAGTATGAAGGAACCCCGGGACAAATAAAAATATTTCCCATAGATTCCAATATTTTCTTGGTTGTTGCCCCCCCCCCACTTCCCATATTTTCCCATATTTTCTGGGGAATCGAGGATTCATTGTGTCTGTGTGTTTTTCCTCTCCTGATAGTAGGGAGAACATGCAC